ACCCATCTCTTTTGGTTTTATCTGGTGAACTGCACTCAAAGAATATGAAGCTGAGGAGTGGATATTGTCTTTATCTTGTATCTCAGAACTGCTCTTACTTTATGTGAAAAACATATCTGCCAAAGCTTAATGCTTTGGGACCTCGTCCTAGGACAATGGAAGGTCTTTTGTGTTTTAGGTTTTGTTTATTAGGACTCTCTTTAAGTAATAAAACTTTTATTTGTCAAGTGATTTTTTTTAATGAGACACTAAAAGCAGCTTTAGATTTTATATGTATTTCAAGTTAGAATTGTTTAGGGTTTTCCTTTGTTTCTGTTCCTTTTCTTATTCTTTTAAATAATATTTTTACGGAATTATACTCTTTTGAAAAGGATTTTTTTCTTGCATTATATTTAGCGTGACAAGCTAAGTCAAATAGAAGTAAAAACCAAACTGACTTTTTCTTCTGGAAACAGGAAGCAGTTGTTACCAAGAGTAGCCAGACTGAGCTGAATGAATCAGTTCTCAAAGTGATGTTTTGACTGGAATGAACAACCTCATGCACACACACTCATAAATCAAGAACAAATAGTGGTGGAAATGTATTTAGTGTACATTTGACATGGATACCCAAGAACTGTAAAATAAGAAGACTGAACTAGTCAGGTCCATATGGTTAGAATTTCTTAAGAAGTTGCTTTAAATGTTTTAAAAATGTATATATACATACTTTCTGCAGTTGTATGTAGTATATACATATATCTTTATACATAATTTTTATCTGTGTTCCTATATGTATGTGTGCATTTATATATGTCAATATACATATATATACATTGTTGCAGAGTGTGTGTGTATATATTTTTTTATATATTTTTGTATATTTTGCAGAGTTTGAATCCTAGGTTACCCCTTGATTGTTTTTCCAGGCCATGATTCTAAAAAGGCAAGAATATTCTTAACCTTCAAGGAACATAAAATAACAAAGAGCAAACACATTAAACAAAATCCTCCAAATCCACCTCCAGTTAGCATAAGAACTATGTAGTGATTTATTCCAGGTGGCCAAAAGCCTTTACCAGTTAAAATTAATTAAAAATTAAGGGTAAGAATTTAATTTTGTATCTGTAACCAATAAGCAAAGAATGATCCAGAGATAGATTCTAAAGCCTGCTAGCTGCTTGCTCTAATGGTTTCCATATCTAAAAGGTAATTGAGAAGTGGAAGTCAAAATTATTTTTGCTGTCAACTTCAAGGTTCCAGTGATTAGTATATTAACAGGAGTTAACCATCATCTATAAAATTAATCTGGAAGTGACCTGTAAAAGCAGTACACATCTGTTACCAGGTCGTACTTAAGGCTCTGCTTATGATTGCTGCATTAACCTCTATGGAAACTGTTTTTCCATTTCTAAATGAGGAATTTATAGAGGTATAAATTAACCAGAAATCTTGAATTTAAAAACAAACAAATGAACAAACAAAAAACAACAAACAAACAACAACAGAAAAACCCCACACACAACAACCCCAAACATGAAAATGATAAATGCATTATAAAGCTTTCATCTCTCTCTACATCTATGCACTTATAATACCTGAATAAAAAAATAAGTATATCTGAAAAAAAGGAGCTATGCTGCCAGTACAGCAGTAATGTATCAGTGCTGTGTGATACAGCATTCCCAAAGGCACAGGTTACAATTCTTTTCTCTATAAAACCTGATGGTGACTCGGCCGAGGAAAAGGGCACAGTAGAAGGCGGCTGTTGGAAGCTGGTTCTGAGAGAGTCCTGCCTGTTGCCACTCTTATATTACTAAGAGACCCAAAAGTGGGAAATTACAGACATTCATCCTGCTGGTTTAGATGTCTTAAGTGTATCAATAACATCGACATTGGGTTGGCAAATATGATATAGGACTGAAGGGAGACCTAACCTCTTCCAGAGCAGCAGGTAGGAGACAGAAGTCCCCAGCATATATGACATTGTATTTGAGTACTTGTGTTTAGTTCCACAGTTACATTCCTCAAGACTAAATACTAGATTCTACATTAACGTGTGTAGAAAGGAGTGATTCAGTGCTAAGCATACCTGTAGAATATTTACTTCCTTGGTCTTTGTTTGTCATGCAAAGCATTTTAGTCAGTGTCTCGTGCTGTGGTATACCGTTTCATTTCTTCATCAGTGAACAAGGGAAGAGCTACTGATGCCATCTATCTGGACTTCTGTGGTTCATTTGGCATGGTCACCCACAACATCATTCTCTCTAAACTGGAAAGAGATGGATTTGATGAATGGACTATTCAGTGGATAAGGAATTGGCTGGATGGTAGCATCCAGAAAATAGTGGTCAGCGGCTCAATGTCCACAGAGAGATTGCTGACAAGTGGTGTCCTTCATCAGGTGTCCATACTGGAACCAGTACTGTTTAATATCTTCATCAGCAACATAGACAGTGGGTTCGAGTGTACTCTCAGCAAATTTTCAGGTGACACCAAGCTGAGTGATGCAGTTGAAATGCCTGAGGGACAGGATGCCATCCAGAGGGACCGGGACAAGCTCGAGAAGTGGGCCCTTGTGACCCTCATGAGGTTCAACAAGGCCAAGTGCAAGGTCCTGCACCTGGGTCAGGGCAACCCCTGGTATCAATACGGGCTGGGGGATAAAGGGACTGAGAGCAGTCCTGCTGAGAAGGACTTTGGAATGCTTGTGGATAAAAAACTGGACATTATCTGGCAATGTGTGCTTGAAGTCCAGAAAGCCAAACACATCATGGTCTGTATCAAGAAAAACATGGCCAGCAAGTTGAGGGGCATTATAAGAAAGATGGGGACAGACTTTTTTAGCAGGGCCTGTAGTGATAGGACAAGGGGTAATGGTTTTAAACTAAAAGAGGGTAGATTAAGACTAGATATAAGGAATAAATATTTTGTGATGATGGTTTTGAAACACTGGAACAAGTTGTCCAGAGAGATGGGCAACCCACCATCCCTGGAAACATTCAACGTCAGGTTACAGGGGGTTCTGAGTAACCTGATCTTAGTTGAAGATGTCCTTGCTCATTGCTGGGGGTTGGGACTAGATGACTTTTAAAGGTCCCTTCCAACTCAAACAATTCTATTATTTGTGTTTCTAGTTGTAGGTGTTTCCTTTCATAAATATTCCTGCGTAGTAGAAAGTGAGAGGGAGCTACCAGTACATGGTTATTGTCTGGTCTGAGATCTTTGCTTTATCTTTTCCAGCATCATCTTGAAAGATAAATTCCAAAATGAATCCCTACAGTCCCTTCTTTTTCTGATGTGGACTGTATGCCATGCTGTCTTTTCCCAAAGGGGGCCACCTATGATCCTTACGTGCAATACCTGCCTTATCCTCAGTTGGTCCACCTTGATTTTCAGACTAACTGCTGCATAATTGGTTCATAAGCTGTTCTCCATTACTGCTTACAAAGTCCTAAAACTTCTCATAACTTTACTAATTTCTTTTGACCCTACACATAGACATATGTGAACCTGAACACGTACTACAGAAATAAGAACTCATGAACTAGCTGCATGATAATCTATTCCAAGTGTAATATGTGCTGCTTTTAATTCTGACAGTGCAATAACTCTCTACAGAAGTTAAAGAACATTACCAGAAACAGTATTTTTGGCATCTTCAACAATATTTCCTTCTTTTCTCCTAAACATTCATCAAATGAATATAAAACGTGATGCCAACCTGTTGGAGATGTCACAGTGACCTAAGATCAAGTGTTCTAAATAGGTTTCACTGCTACTCATCTCAGCAAGGCTGGAAAGCTAGGGGACCTTGTAACTGCTATTCTGTTTCTTGCCCATGGGGGCAGGCTGGTGTTTATCTGGCAGATTTGTTGAATACAAATCTTCTGTTCTGTCTGATCTATACCTTTAAAGAATAAATTACTAGGCAGAATTTGTCAGCTACTGTTCCTAGTATTTACTGCACAGTTATTACCAATACTGATATCCAGCCTGATTACTATTCTATCTACTGTCCAGATGGTCAGCGTCTTTGAAAGAGGCTTTCTCTTGGTTCTTTGGGCATTCTGTCAAGGACCACAAAGTTTATAACTCCTCTTTCTATACCTTCTTTTTCCAATTTATTCACTACCCAGCCAACAACATAAGGAAGTTGTCTGAGTTACATTTAAGGCTCAGGAAATAACAGTGTGAGACAAGTCAGGTTCACAGCTACTGGTAGGCAAAATAAGCTCATACCTGTGAACCTGGCTGTGGAATCAGGCTAGCTCAGTGGAATCAGCTCAACATTATCGCATACAAGGAATACTGTCTTATATACCCCTTAGTATTCAGAGACTTTCTGATGGCTCCCCCCGGTACTTGTCACACATTTATGCAGTCTGATTGTGGAAATACGAGAATCTGCTTGTACCTTTATAGGCAATCTGAAAATAATACTCCAGATAATGGTATTATTCTTTAACTAACAAGCTGCATTATTCCACAAAATGGTAGATACGGGGAAGAAACATACATGCCCTAAAACAAGAATATGGAACAAACTGCCAGCTCTGCAACCTGGCAGAGACACCTAAGTGGAATAGTGACAAGTTACTGTCATGGTTGCTGATGGCATCAAAAAGAATGTGTGTCCACATAAGGAGGACAGGGCTTTAGGATTTGGGTGTTGGTATTACATGTTTTTTATAGCGGCTGAAATGGAACAGTCTTCTGGCTCACAACCTTAAGAGGGAGACCGTCTCGTAACACACGGCTCACTACGTAAGTATTTCTACTACACTTGGAATTATGGATATTAAAGGACTGAGATATAGAAAAACTAATATACTCAATAAAGTTACCAAGATCTAATGTACTAATATAAACCCACCAAGATACAAGATATAATATCTGTCAAAGATTTTATTTGATCTGTATTTCCTGTAGAATACTTAAGTGATAGAAAAACAAATGAAGACAAACTTTTTGCAGAATCCAAATAACCATATGTCATCATTATCTTCTATTTTTTTCAGCCAGCAGACTTTACAGGAAAGCAAGCACTGAAGCAGATTAAAGAAAAGGGGCTCAAAAGACGACTGGTATATCTCACCCTAGAAACGGATAACGTGGATCCAGAGGGAAATGAAAGTGTGTGGCATAATGGCAAGGTAAAGGACTATAGATCACATTACAGTAAGATGATGTTAATTCTCCATGAACAGAATCTTTTGTGTTTCAAGTGTGAATACATTATTTTTGTTCTACTGGCACAGAACAATTTGAAGCTATGATAACCATTTTCTAGTCTTCAAGCAGGAAGCAAAGGCTAACTAAATATCTACAAAGAAAATGTGAGATATCATCAAGTCACAGAAACTAGAGTCAGAACAGACTAATGTATTAACTCATTCATTGTCTTCTCCTGCAAGTTCACCATTGTCCTAGCAACACTTTTGCTATTCACTTAAAAAACAACAGCAAGTTTAGGCCTCCACATTTCAGCACAGATATTGCATGTTGAAATGCTCACCGGCAGTTAAATTATTGCTTATAACAAACATGCCTGTGTATAGTGTTTGTTCCAGTGAAAACTCAAGTGAACACAATAGGAATAGACTGTTTTTTCAAGAGCAAAACCTTCCCAGTTTAAGATGACATCACCCACAGTAGAGAATATTATGAACTGCAGGACACACTTGAAATTTGCTTGATGTCTAAAGTGTATACACCAAAACTTGTATATGACATGTATAGTTGTTTGGTCTGTTGATTGGTGGTGTGGTTGTTTTTTTTAAGAAAACCTCACTGTATATTGAAAATAAAGATACATGTTTGTAATTTTTTTCAGGTTATTGGCAACACCACATCTGGAAGTTTCAGTTACAGTGCTCAGCAGAGTCTGGCTTTTGCGTATGTTCCCACAGAACTCAGCAAAGTTGGACAGAAATTGGAAGTTGAACTTCTAGGAAAAAATTACCCAGCAGCCATTGTACAAGAGCCACTGGTGCTGACCGAACCAACAAGAATGCGATTGCAAAGAAAGGGTGAAAGTCCCAAAGTATAAAGACAGATGAGGATACAGGAAACTGCAGCAGGAAATAGTTCCATTAATATGCATGAAATTTAGAGAGACAAAATACTCCGGTTTGCTAACTACTAGACACAAGATCCTCATTGCCATATATCAGTGATAAATTTGATGGTGTTACCCTCTTGCTTCCTTGTATGGGCTATTCACATCAGAGATCTGAGCAGAGTTCACTATGCATTCTCTCTTCTCAGTAGCACTTGTGAGCAGAAAGTGGCAGGGAATTAATAGATCCTTGATTCAGCTTGCTCCCACATTAGCTGGTAGATCTGAATTAATACAGAGGAGAAAGTTGCTCTTGGAATTGGTCAATAGTAACTTCTTCCTCCTTGACACTCACAATTCCTCCTTTGCCTGTCCTCAGGGCAAAGTAGCTTATCATTGCTCCTTAGAACATGACATCCCAAACGTATCATTGAAGTAACATACCTCCCTGCAACCATTAAAAATAATAAAGGCAATGCTAAAGGCAAATTGAACTGTTAGAATTTTTTCCCTGGCAGGAATTCTTACAAAAGATCAAAATCTAATTCTTCATAACAAAACAATTATTGGAAGCCCATACTTCATTATTTTTTATGAATCATCTGGTAGATCACCTGTAATGTTCTACAACACACAGGATGTTATGCTCAGTTTTGAACAGAATTTTAAGTACTGTATCATGTCCTAAATTTTACTGTTCTAAATCTGAAGAGCTAGTCTGACACCAGATAACTTCTGTTCTTCCTTTTCCTGTTAATTATAGATTGAACAGCAGTATGAGCCATATGTTGTTACAGAGGAATATTAAATGAAAAAAAAATTCCACAGCAGAGGAACTTTATTCAGTGTTAAGTATTTGATAACCCAAATAAGCAGGGTTGGGATAACACAGACAATGGGAACACACTAAATTGTTAAAACAGTCTTCTGAATTCCATAATATGTTCAGCAATTCTTCTGAATAAAAACAATGTCACAATTTTCAACTTATGAAGAGTTACACTCCCCTGTAGGCTATAGATATACCTTTTTGAAGTACATATGAATATGAATAATGTCCAAATTGTACTTGCTCCAAAGGAGTTGGTGCCTCTAAATCTTCAAGAAGATTTTCTTCTTTCTTCAAAAAAGAAAATGTAATAAATAGAATATGTCAGGAGGAACACAGTTTGAATAATGAACACTTGCTCTTCCTAAAGTACTATCCTGAGTGAAAAATCAATTCAGAAATCATTTTTTGTTATGCATTCATCAGTGATTTAGTTCTGCTTTGCTGAACCAATCAGAGATGTTACTTTTTCTAAAGGTGACATTATCTGTAACGAGGCACTTAGCCGCTATCTTTCCTTGAGCATCTAAGAAGTCTAAAATACAACACAATGCTACATGGTTTTATTTAGACTGTGGAGGGGAAGAGTAATTCTTAGGAATATAGTTTTTACTTTCAGTATTTCCCAAGAACATGCAAATTCACTAGACATGACATCCTGCCTGTACAGTAACAGTAATCCTGAGACAGGCTCTCACATATACTTTCCTAATAAGCTTTGCTGTGCCAAAACTCTGTTTCAGTGATGCCTTCCACATCCCAACCTGAAAGTTAGCATCATGTTTGAAACTTCTTTTTTGGCTTGGAAGAAACAAGTGTTGTCGAGTTATCAAGTGATCACTTGATCAAGTGATCTGTCAAGCAGATCACTCTGTGCAGAAGGGGCAGGTTTTCTGCAACCTGAGCAAAAGGTAAGGAAGCACAGACGTTCTTCCTGCAGCCCAGTGAGCTCAGAAACTGTACCCTCCGTGGGCATGTACTGCATTTCCAGATGTCACATCCTAACCCTAATTTCTCCTTATAGCTGATGCAGACAGCTACCTGCCTTGTTTTACTGTGTAGAATTAAGCAGGCCCAAACACTGATTTCTTTATGGGCTTTTTATTGACAGCTGTTATCACCTAAGTCTCACCAAGACTAAGCTTCAGCCAGTTAATTTTCGTTTAGATTCAAGATTTAGGGAAGTAGTCAAAGAAACCCTATTGTGTGCTCTTTCTGGGAGAAGGCAATGCCAAGTGAAGTTTCTTTCCTTCAGCCAACTTGTAAGACCAGAGCAACTCCCTGTTCATCACTGACTGTATGTAAGGCAAATGGAATACCCAAGAGTTTCTTGCACTGTTACCTCTTAAAAACATCTGTGCTGTCTGTTTGACAAGGCACTCAGGAACAGTGGTGCCTGGAGTAGTTTTAAGCAGGCATAGCTGACTATTAGAACAGCTGTAGCTATGACAGCCGTATGTCCGACAGGGCTTCCCAGTTGACCCTAACTAGTTTTTTACTGCTCTGATACCCAAGTCAGCTTGCTGAGTATTTATTAGAATAGCCCGACATGGCAGCACTTTGCACAGTGTGGATAAACAAAACTGTAAGGGGATGAAGCTTTACGAATCAGGCCTGCACCCCTAGAGAGGTTCACACATATAAGTCAATCTTTCAGGGTTATAAAAACAAATTATAAACCTGGAGAGATGAAGAGAGGGGAGTGTTCAGCAGCTGTCATGGTTTCCTGTCACCGCTTCTTTTCATTACAGGTTGTGATACGGTGTTGCATAAACTTGTGGTGTCAAGATACAGCAAGAGGAAGTGACTAGGAGCACGAAAGTAGTACATCCATGTTTTCAGAGGGCTTCTAACCAATCAAACAGAAGTACCAGAGTAGAAAGACTGGCAGGGACATCTTTTGAGTCTTCTGCAACCCCATTAGCTAACAGAGGAGACACCAATGTAATGTGGTGAAAAAATGACAGTTGGTCATCTAGGAAATTTTCTGAAATACTCAAATCCGTGTGTGCAGAGAGATCAGGCAGTTTTTTCAGACACACCTTTTGGCATTTTCCTTTATTCTTCTTCCATCTCCAGGGAGTTTTGCTACACAGGAGTAGGTGTTACTATTATCGTTTGAATTTTTGCTTCAAGTTCCCCTGTGCTATGGCAAGCAATTTAATGTTTTAATCCTGGCAGCTCAGGCAACCAGGTTATCCAGTTGTGATGGAGCTGGTAACCAGGAAATAACTCTTGACACTCCTCTACAAGGGAATGTAGTTCAGCTGCACTTGAACAACATGTTATCTTTGGAAACGTCAGGTGAATAGCTATTATGAATTTTATTGCAAAATCTGTATCCAAAATTTCTGATTTCACCAGCCCTGTGTAGATTTTCAAATTATTTTGAATGAACAAGAATGGTTTCCATAGCATGTGCTAACATTTGAATGGAACTTTACCTATAATAAGAACATGGAGGAAGTTAGTAAAATACACAGTTCAGTGAGACAGCCGTGACTGGTGGTGGGATCTGAACTAAAAACAGGAGAAGTCGGAACTTTCCAACATTTTGAACAGTATGAATCACATCTCAACGAAGAAAATACAACTCATAGTCACATACCAGCTTGTCAGCAATTTTGGAATTTACTTCAGGGAAAACTGACTTTAGGACAGTATTGTTGCTTCTGGTTCCAATACCAGCTGTGGGCCACAGCACATTCCTACTGTAGAAAAAAATGCGGCAGGACTCATCATTGCTGTTGTTTTCAAACCAGCAGGGAATCCTTTGGGATTTATAAATAAATTCTGGTAAATTCATAGGTTTATCCTCTACACTTCATACACAGGAGCGGTAACTTTCTTTCTACAGAGACTTGCCAGTCAAAAAGGAAGTAAGACAGGACTCTAGCATAGTCAGTATTCGGTTTTCTTACTAAAAAATACGATTTTTTAACGTGGATTTTACTTTCACCAAATGGCTGTATAAATTTGGGAATGCACGTATGTATAATTGCAGCTAAATGTGAAACAGATGGTTATTTGATCTTCAACTGGACACTGAACTCTGTATGTATTCCATGGACGAACATAACTGATCAGTGTTGACAGCTATTTCTGTCCTTTCACGGTCTCAGATTTTACATCAAGATCGTAACTAAGGTAGTGGTCGTTTACAGTATTGCTTTAGACGATTACACGGTTTGAAGAAACAGCCCTGTTGACATAGCTGTTATTTCTGCTCCTGGGTTGCTTCACTTCCTTCCTACACAGTAACAGCCACGAGCACCGTCGTACAACCGGGCCTGGATCAAGGCTTCTCATACGGACAGAACGAAGAGCAAAAAGCACTGGGTCTCTCACGGTTTTGCAGAAGGGGCAGACGGGGAGGGGATGAGATTTACAACTGATGGTGGCAGGGGAGAGACCACGCAGTTCCTCCTACAGCAATAATTCCCATCTCCCACAGCTCAGCTGTGTCTCCAGTGACGGTGGCAACTTGGTTTCCCCAGGCCGTAGCCCAGGTTGGCACGCAGGGAGGCCATGCCCGTTTTCCAGCTGCCCCACTTTGCTTATGCACAGAATAAACTCTGTCCACACTGCGAGGTCTGGATGAGCTGCCGTCGGGTTGAGGGTACAAGGAACAACAGTCCGGTTACTTGTACCGGGATACACTCTGTCCTCTCCTCAAACTGATCATAGAATCATAGAATCATAGAATGGTTTGGGTTGGAAGGGACCTTAAAGATCATCCAGTTCCAACCCCCCTGCCATGGGCAGGCCCCCCTTCCACTAGACCAGGTTGCTCAAAGCCACATCCAGCCTGGCCTTGGACACTTCCAGGGATGGGGCATCCACAGCTTCTCTGGGCAACCTGCACCAGTGCCTCACCACCCTCACTGTGAAGAATTTCTTCCTGATATCTAATCTAAACCTCCCTGATTTCAATTTATACCCACTACCCCTTGACTTCCATGGAAACGCTGCTGACTGAGCCCAGGTTTGCAAATACTGCCCCGGTTCTGCTAGGAAAGGCTCCATGGCTTGGAATGTGGGAGCTGAAGGAAGATGAACTCCAGCATCCCGGGGTAGGATGCTCCACCAACACCGGCAACAACTTTACTCTCTCCTTTTGGCAGGTTTCACAACGGGCCTACCGCC